TTAAAAGTTTCATTTTGTTTGGCTACATCTGGTGAAAAAATCATATGTACATGATGGGTATATATATTGTATACGACTGTCAAAAATTATAAGTACCCCAGTATATTCTGATGATTACTGTAAAAATCTGTATTAGATACTACGGTGTCTAATAAAACAGTACAAAACAACAGAGGGAATGCGGCTTCTATTGTCTACACGTACACATATGAGAAATGGTGATTTTTTGGTTCTAAATTGTTCCAAGAAAGTCCATTTATCTTTTAGATTTCAAAGTAGGTCAGTTCCTAACACTGTGTGCATTTCAAAGTCAGTACTGAAGTAAGTTGGAAATAGTAACAATGAAGATGTCATTGACATACATGGTGTATGTAAGCAAATAGCTGTGTAAAGGAACTGATACATGTATACTGAGTATAACCAATAGAGTTGTTTGCAAATTTGATAGGATTATACCCTATATCCACACATACAACAAAAGATACAAATACTTAGTCTCAAATACCAGAGAAAATATGACGTAGTTGTGTTCTATATACACAATGGTAAGAGATACCTGTCAAAAGATTGTTTGATATACGGAGATGACATAAATTAAACTTACTGCTATTCTGTAAGAAGATTCTATGTAAAAAACCATGTTCTGTATAAAATCTACTTCATCTAAAGTAAATATAATCTGAAGACCTGCAACAAAGATCAAAACAAAATCCATTATCACATTACCAGAATTAATGTGCATATCTCCACAGTGTGACATAATACAAGGTAGATACAAAATGCACATCACATAGTATGATATCATAGGCTGCCAAACTTTCTTTCAGTGTATGCTACCAGAAAGTTTTCTGGACTATCAGATTTATATACAATACATGTATATACGGTCTGACAGCTACAGGTTATGGTAATCAAAGAAGTTCAAGTTGGTTAAATCACATGTTTGTGTGCTTATGTCAGCCTAAGAGAAAAATATTATGAAATTATATAAAAATACTGAATTACACAATGTAGATGATTACATGTGGCAAATCACCATTCCTTGGGAGGTTATCTCTGACCTTGCTACTGTTTAAACCATTTCCTACACGTAGGCAAAATCTCATGCATAGATGACGATGCTAATGTTTAATTGAATATTACTAATCTAAAAGGTTTTGTTGAGCCATAAGCCAAACACTCCAACTTGTGCACAGTGCTTCAAAGGATGGACACAGTGATGTCATACATAGCTTGATCACATGATCACACTAGAAGTTTTCAACAAATTCAAAGTCATACGTGCATAATCCAGAAATTACAATTTTATTTGAGATTAAAATGTGAATACTGCATTAGATATTACATGTAGTAGTGCATATGCTTGAATAAATAATAGAGGTATATGTACATGTATGTTTTAATTTAACAATCCAGTATAAAATGAATGCAATTTTTGATTGACATGTAAGCCTATAAGAGATGAGCTTTTAATAGAACATATTATACATGTACAGTAATTTTGAGACAGTCCACGAAGTGAAATAATTTAACCCTGACAACTATGTAGGTATAGTTCCAATATGTTCATAATAAGTAATGGAAGAAACATGGGCACATCAACAAAGCTGTGCAGTACTGAAAATGAAGAAAACAAGAATGATTCTGATCAGTTTTTGTTTCGTGGTACAAGATTTTCACCATGACGACAGTGACAGATGAGATGCCATTTACTATTTACGGTAACAAAGAAGATCCACCCATTAATGGTAACCATAGTAACACAAATGATGCAATTACCAGGGTTTTTTTTTCTGTACCATTAATATCACAGGTTTAATTCTCAAGGGATAACATGCACAGTACATAGATAATTTTAACAGCCTACAGTTGTATAGTGATATTGATTTGGACCTGGTAGTACATTACCAGGACACATTTGTATAGCATTTTAGTATCTGTTATTTGTTTTGACCTGGCTTGCAATAAATACATGAATCTACAAGTAAATAATAGCACACATTGCTACAGTAGATTCAGATATATTCCAAGTTCTATCACACATTGCTACAGTAGATTCAGATATATTCCAAGTTCTATCACACATTGCTACAGTAGATTCAGATATATTCCAAGTTCTATCACACATTGCTACAGTAGATTCAGATATATTCCAAGTTCTATCACACATTCACTGGTATTGCTTTTCAATATTTAATGAACACAAAGATTGGTTTCAAGCGTTACCAGATATAAAGAAATTTTTTTTTTTTTTACAATCTAAGTTCTACCAAATATTATTTAAACATATGTGATATGCTGACAAGTTAAAATATTTCTCATACTTATAAATGCCATTTTATTTACACTGCCCCCTACACTGTACAAAGGCATTCATTTTAATGTCAAATCATGCTTCAACAATCCATTCTCGGACAAACCTTCAGAAAGTAAAGCCACATGTCCTATCCAATCACAGGTATACAGTATCCTAGCAACAGTACCACACAGAGAATCCTGGCTATATGCCAAGAAATGTCCCATCATCTATACTGACATAGGCGGTATCGGGACATTTGACATTAGCACAACAGTTGCATTCATAATTCTGACACACAATCCCATAAACTATAAAGATTCATTAGCACGAGGGAGATATCAGTAGTAGGATGAAATCAATACTTTTAACTGTATCATAGTAAGCAACAATTTAACATTATTCTAACATTACTTTTTTATTACTACTTGACAAGTACATCAAAATATTGTGTCTTGGCGTGTGCAAGAAGTTATTTAGGTTAACCTTATGTTAATTTTAACATTCCTGCAACGGCATACCTCATAGTATTTGTAGTACATGCATTACAAAATTGAATAATTGCTTTTTTCATATTGTACTGCTAGGCAACAGTATATATTATAAAACAATTGTTTAAATGGTAGCATGCCATATACCATATCAGTTCTATTATAATTTGTGCATCCTACGCAACACAATAAATGTTAAAATGTCTAATAGAAAGCAACTGAAAATTGTATATATGCAATGACCAGATGTTTAATCATAGAGAAATATAACATACTTCAACAAATTTTCAAACAATTTCTGGGGTTCGACTATGTACATGTACGTACTGCTTTTATAATTTAGGAGAGGTTAACACATGCCGATACTTGTACCGGTATCTACCATAGCAACTAGAGAACAGAATGACCTCAAATGTCTGGGTCGATGTCCTTTTAAATCCCTTTACGTCATACTTTATAACAGAATTAATACTCAACTACTGAATAGAGTGTGTTCAATTACTAACCTATTCAAAAGTTTTCACACACAAACGCAAACATCGTGATACTAATCAACAAAAAACAAATTCTTAAAAAATTATACAAATCAAACTGATAGTGAATCTATTTGGAAATAATAACGGAAATCGATGAAAATCAATCAGGTTGTCATTTTTTTGTCGGTTGAATTTCATTAAAATTCAAAAATACCTTAAGTTATCGGTCATGCTGGTTGGCAAAATTGTAAATAAATGGCATCACAGCGAACTAATCTATACATATAGTTATACCATCAAGTAGAATAACAATTGAATTGCAAAGATTACAAAAAGTCTGATTTCCTCTTAGGAAAAAATACTTTGCATATTGCCAATTTTCATAATGGTAGAATTGTTTTCAAGGGTATGTTTTATAATATCTCATTTTCTCACTATTAAACCTTGTTGTAGAATGTATCCATGGAATGAAAATTTTCTATTTTCCTGAAATTCCTAAACACCTTCAATTTTCTGACCTATATTTTGGAGCATATTTTTATCAATTTCAATTTGATAAATATTGATCAAACCAAATTTATTAAAATTTGTATACAATGATAAAATTATCCATTTTATCTTCAACTTTTAATAAAATATTGAAAGAAAATCATGCAGGGGTTATTTTGAGAAAGATGACTAAAAGAACAAAAGTTCAAAAGATTAAGTCTCTTTTATGCAAATGCACATAGGTGCAAATAACAAAAAAAATGTATCGGTAGATTTATTGCACAAAAATTTCAATAAGAAATTGAAGTTGTTGAGAAAAACCATATTGCATTCAAGAAAACACTGATACACGTACAACATGCAAGTGTGATTTACTGAAATAGGAGACAAAACAAGCATTGTAGACATACCTGATGCGGTCATTTGAGCTAACATGAGTAAATAGAGGGAGGTAGCATCAATCTGTAAATGTCCCCAGTCATAATCTCCAACCACAGTATCACCCGTCTTGATACTATACTTGGCATGGAGTGCATCTTTAGGATTCTGAGAGAACTTGAAAGCTTCCACCTTGTGCACCTGCAAACAAAGGAAGTGAAGAATTTGATAAATTGGTGCTGACATCTGACATAATATTATGGCTCATTCAGTGCATAATTTTGATATGCAATAAATGTGTGAAATACTGCAGTTGGGTGACTAATGATGAAAAAGCCATACATAAAAAAATGGACATTTGTCTGACAAAATTGAAAAACTTCACGTATTAGAATTAGAGAAAATCATAAAATAAGCTAACAGTGAACATTTTACTGAAACGTACATTCTTTGATCAATGGCTTACTGCAAACACACTCAGTCATTGGTTAACTGCAAACACACTCAGTCATTGGTTCACTGCAAACACACTCAGTCATTGGTTTACCACAAACACACTCAGTCATTGGTTTACCTCAAACACACTCAGTCATTGGTTTACCTCAAACACACTCAGTCATTGGTTTACCACAAACACACCCAGTCATTGGTTTACCTCAAACACACTCAGTCATTGGTTCACTGCAAACACACTCGGTCATTGGTTCACTGCAAACACACTTAGTCATTGGTTTACCACAAACACACTCAGTCATTGGTTTACCTCAAACACACTCAGTCATTGGTTCACTACAAACACACCCAGTCATTGGTTTGCATCAAACACACTCTGTCATTGGTTCACTGCAAACACACTCTGTCATTGGTTCACTGCAAACACACTCGGTCATTGGTTCACTGCAAACACACTTAGTCATTGGTTCACTGCAAACACACTCAGTCATTGGTTCACTGCAAACATACTGGTTGGTACAATGCAAAAACACTTGGTGAACGGTTAACAGATTCAGTCATTGGTTCACTGCAAACACACTCAGTCATTGGTTCACTGCAAACACACTCAGTGATTGGTTCACTGCAAACATACTGGTTGGTACAATGCACTTGGTGATCGGTTAACACATTCACTTGTTGGTTCACTGCAAACACACTCGGTCATTGGTTCACTGCAAACACACTTAGTCATTGGTTCACTGCAAACACACTCAGTGATTGGTTCACTGCAAACATACTGGTTGGTACAATGCAAAAACACTTGGTGATCGGTTAACAGATTCAGTCATTGGTTCACTGCTAACACACTCAGTCATTGGTTCACTGCAAACAGTCATTGGTTTACCTCAAACACACTCAGTCATTGGTTTACTTCAAACACACTCAGTCATTGGTTCACTACAAACACACCCAGTCATTGGTTTCCCACAACCACACCCAGTCATTGGTTTACCACAAACACACTCAGTCATTGGTTTACCTCAACACTCAGTCATTGGTTCACCACAAACATACCCAGTCATTGGTTTACCTCAAACACACTCAGTCATTGGTTCACCACAAACGCACGCAGTCATTGGTTTACCTCAAACACATTCAGTCATTGGTTTACCACAAACACACTCAGTCATTGGTTTACCACAAACACACTCAGTCATTTGTTTACCACAAACACACCCAGTCATTGGTTTACCTCAAACACACTCAGTCATTGGTTTACCACAAACACACTCAGTCATTGGTTTACCTCAAACACTCAGTCATTGGTTCACCACAAACGCACCCAGTCATTGGTTTACCTCAAACACACTCAGTCATTGGTTCACCACAAACACACGCAGTCATTGGTTTACCTCAAACACATTCAGTCATTGGTTTACCACAAACACACTCAGTCATTGGTTTACCTCAAACACACTCAGTCATTGGTTCACTACAAACACACCCAGTCATTGGTTTCCCACAACCACACTCAGTCATTGGTTTACCACAAACACACATAGGTTGTATTCAAATTAACATACAGTGTTCTCTCCAAGATACAAAATAATTAGCAGTGTTCATTATTGCCGTATTTGATTTTCACACCTTTACTTTTGTCTATGATTTCTGCAGCTATTGTTCTATGAGCTATTGTTATGTTAATCATCCTCACTGTTCTTTCAAGCCATAAATAATAACAATTAGATCATTTGGGTTGGCACGTTCTTGTATACTAGCATGTACATATAGTAAATTGATTTTCCTTTTTTAAGCCATAACTTGTGGGGGTTTTTTCAAATTATAAAACTAAACGTAATATAGTGCATAAGCAAATTAGGAAAAATTAAAAAAAAAAAATTATGAATTAAGAATAAATTATGTAAATTATAATATGCTAATTATTATGCAAGTTAGCTGCCATCCTTGACCAAAATCCTGGGGTGGACACTGATAAATGTCGTTTTCAACACAGATACTGTATCTTGGCCCTGAAAATAAGTTTTGATGTACTTAATTAAATACATGAAATTAATTACAGCGTCCTTCAATGTCACAAATTTAAAATAATCAACAAAATGTGACTTTTTTCATTAAAATGGCATCTCATCTAATTTAGGATGAATTACCTCAGTACCTCCTTAAAAAGCATTTTTCGCTATTGCGTTCTGATTAGCTAACTGATAAATACAATTAATAACCATAGAACACTTATTCATTTTGCTATTAATTCAGAAGGAAAAGTGTTTTTTGGTTGACATACATGTATGCTTGTCTTTTGAAATAACTAAATGGTGACTTTTCAGGAAAATGGTAAAAGCTCTATAGTGCCAAATCTGAGTTTGAGTTGACATATGTGAAGTAACATGGATATAGCACAGTGCATGCTACTATCACCTTACTATCAAGACGTGTGAAGTGGACAGCCATTTTGATTCTTACATTTCCAAAAAATAGAATGATCATCCATTCAGTTAGATTTTTATAAAAATGGCAATGTGGGGGTGGGGCAATTTTTCATTCATTGTCAAGGGAACATAACCTACAAGTTTCAATATGCATATAGGCTTTTTTGTGGTGCTATGAAGATACATGTAATATAAAAATGATAATATGTATGGAAATGATTTTAGTGACTCATTCTAGTACTACACACTCACAAAATGTAAATGAAAAAAATACTTGCCGAAAATCTTATTGAAAAAAAAAAAAAAAATTTTCAATCACAATATTATGAAATTTCAAAGGATCACATTTCATTATCAGAAATTTAGTTTTTTCTACCTGTCTTCTTTTCAGACACAGACATCTTGTGTTTTTATGTAAAACCACTTTTCTGATATCATACATATACAAATATAGACGTAGAAGATATGAATTATTTATCATTGTACAAAATATCACGTTTGCATTATTTATTGTCTCCGTTTCAATACGTCATGGAAACAGCTGGGGAAACTGGTGGATCTCTGACTGTTCATTCTAAGCCAATTCTATGTTTGAATGAACAACCCTTATAATCTTGTAATCCATACGCATAGAATTATATTCTTATACCTTCAGAGAAAACTATTTTTCTATATTCATATACTAGAGAAAATAGTACATACACAGTCCCAGTAATAATGTCAGGCGGTTAGTGAATATATATTTGATTGCATATTGAACAGACATGATATGCATGACCAAAAAAACCTTGATGTGGGCAGAATTTATGACATGGGGGGGGGACAAATGGGGAGAAGTTCTACATTATACCTCTTCTACTCTCTGTGAATGATGTATAATGTAAAGCACCTTGAATAGCTACACGCCATTTTAGCAAATATGACTCACTGCATTATTTATATTCAACTCTATCTTAATTTAGCTAAAGTGTCAGCATCTTATTGTGAGAATATACAAAATTAATATACTTACTTTCAAATTAGCAAAATCTTGAATTAGTAAAATTACAGATGATTAGCTAAAATAACATTCTAGCTGAATCTTGTACAATACTGGTAATTTCATGGTGGGTTAAGTAGAATTTACATTTTGAAAGATTAAATTAAATACGTGTTCATAAATTGTCTGTTGTAAAATGCTATACATGAAAATATTGATTGAATTTTCATTGCACATTTATTAATTTTTGTTTGTACTTAATCTAAAAAATATAACAGAATATAGATTATGAACAGGCTGTTAGCCAGCCACCAGTTCACCCATCAAACGGACTGGAACATTGATTTTGGATTGGCAAATTTTTTGCATATTTTTTTTTTTTTCCTACTGTTCTTTGATAATTTTACAAAAATATATCCAAAACCATTTACATTTTTCATGAATTCCTGGCTAATAGTCTGATTATGAATGACCCATACATTAAGTCAAAATCGCTAAAATGACGTGTACCAGTAATTATTTCAAAGTAAATACTTCACAGGAAGTACAATGTAAGTATAACAAGAGGTATAATGTACAGTTTTACACCTAATACAAACAATGAAAGAAATTAACAGACAATCAATAGAATGCATACACTATGTACTATGTAGGGATATATTTTCAAAGAAAAAAGCCTCAATATTGAAGTCAGATAACAAAAATCAAAGGGAGGATCACATGACACCTCAATGAATCATCAGGTGAAACTTCAGCTCCTAATTAGCTTCATTATATATAGCAGGTTTCATTAAATTAGCTACAATGTAAGCAGATGGCCATATAGTACATGTAAAATATTTAAATCATTAAACCAATGTGGATGTTGTAAAAATATAATAATAATTTTTATTGTAGTATCAAATATAAACCAATCTACTATCAAGGAATTGGGGGATTTAAAGACACAGTATACCAGTGTTCTCCACAAGGGGTTTTAGGTGGGCGGCCCGCCCATCAAGTTGTACGGCCGCCTAGTAACTCTCAACACCCGCCCACCAACGTACATCCAGCTGAAATTATTTGTAAAAAAGCTTGCATTGTTCTTCCCAAGCCTAAACAAAAGAGTAGTTGCCAACCCTTTATTTTGCTATTGTTTCACGAGTCAAACATAAACAATGACCACTGGAAGTCTGCAGCAGTT